GCTTAAGCAAGAACCAATCTTATCTACGCATCAAAACCACAACGATAGTTTGTCAAGTTGGTGCTATTTTAACCTTCGCAAGGACCGGGCGTAGCCACACTCGGTTCAACTAAAGTTGGAGAAACTGTCACCCGCTAGTCACCTTTGTGCAAAGCACGTCGGGAGAACCGGTCTCGCGTAAGCGTACGCATAATGTCGGTCCGGGCCGCTTCGTCCAACAATACCGCCGAACCAAAGTATGACATGCTGGTAAGCAGTATGACTTATATCGCCCACAACTCACTTGTGTTCTACTCGTGCATATAACATCAACACATAAAACCTAGGCTCGGATGTCACTATTGGGGAACGTAGTAATTTCAAAAAAATTCCTACGCACACGCAAGATCATGGTGATGCATAGCAACGAGAGGGGAGAGTGTGATCTACGTACCCTTGTAGACCGATAGCGGAAGCGTTAGCACAACGCGGTTGATGTAGTCGTACGTCTTCACGACCCGACTGATCAAGCACCGAAACTACGACACCTCTGAGTTTTAGCACACGTTCAGCTCGATGACGATCCCCGGACTCCGATCCAGCAAAGTGTCGGGGAAGAGTTCCGTCAGCACGACGGTGTGGTGACGATCTTGATGTTCTACCGTCGCAGGGCTTCACCTAAGCACCGCTACAATATTATCGAGGATTATGATGGAAGGGGCACCGCACACGTCTAAGAATATGATCACGTGGATCAACTTGTGTGTCTAGGGGTGCCCCCTGCCCCAGTATATAAAGGATCAAGGGGAGGAGGCCGGCCCTAGGAGGGGCGCGCCAGGGAGTAGGATTCCTACTCCTAGTTGGAGTAGGTTTCCTCCTTTCCTAGTCCAACTAGGAGAATGGGGGAAAGGGGGGAAAGGGGGGAAGAGGGGAAGGAAGGGAGAGAGGGGCCGCGCCCCAAACCCCTTGTCCAATTCGGACTGGGCTTGGGAGGGGCGCGCGCCACCTCCTGGTCCTTTCCACTAAGGCCCATTAAGGCCCATTGCTTCTTCCTCGTATTCCCGTAACTCCCCGGTACCTCCGAAAATACCCAAATCACTCGGTACCTTTCCGATGTCCGAATATAGTCGTCCAATATATCGATTTTTACGTCTCGACCATTTCGAGACTCCTCGTCATGTCCCCGATCTCATCCGGGACCCCGAACTCCTTCGGTACATCAAAACTCATAAACTTATAATATAACTGTCATCGAAACCTTAAGCGTGCGGATCCTACGGGTTCGAGAACAATGTAGACATGACCGAGACACGTCTCCGGTCAATAACCAATAGCGGAACCTGGATGCTCATATTGGCTCCCACATATTCTACGAAGATCCTTATCGGTCAGACCGCATAATAAGATACGTTGTTCCCTTTGTCATCGGTATGTTACTTGCCCGAGATTCGATTGTCGGTATCTTAATACCTAGTTCAATCTCGTTATCGGCAAGTCTCTTTACTCGTTTCATAATACATCATCTTGCAACTAACTTATTAGTTGTAATGCTTGCAAGGCTTATGTGATGTGCATTACCGAGAGGGCTCAGAGATACCTCTCCGACAATCGGAGTGACAAATTCTAATCTCGAAATACGCCAACCCAACATTCACCTTTGGAGACACCTGTAGAGCTCCTTTATAATCACCCAGTTACGTTGTGACGTTTCGTAGCACACAAAGTGTTCCTCCGGTAAACAGGAGTTGTATAATCTCATAGTCATAGGAACATGTATAAGTCATGAAGAAAGCAATAGCAACATACTAAACGATCGAGTGCTAAGCTAACGGAATGGGTCAAGTCAATCACATCATTCTTCTAATGATGTGATCCCGTTAATCAAATAACAACTCTTTTGTTCATGGTTAGGAAACATAACCATCTTCGATGAACGAGCTAGTCTAGTAGAGGCATACTAGTGACACTCTGTTTGTCTATGTATTCACACATGTATTATGTTTCCGGTTAATACAATTCTAGCATGAATAATAAACATTTATCATGATATAAGGAAATAAATAATAACTTTATTATTGCCTCTAGGGCATATTTCCTTCAATTCGGACATCGGAAAGGTTCCGAGTGATTCGGGTATTTTCGGTGGTACCGGGGAGTTACGGGAATACGAGGAAGAAGCAATGGGCCTTAATGGGCCTTAGTGGGAAGGACCAGGAGTTGGCGCGCGCCCCTCCCAAGCCCAGTCCAAATTGGACAAGGGGTTTAGGGCGCGGCCCCTCTCTCCCTTCCTTCCCCTCTTCCCCCCTTTCCCCCCTTCTCCTAGTTGGACTAGGAAAGGAGGAAACCTACCCCAACTAGGAGTAGGAATCCTACTCCCCTGGCGCGCCCCTCCTAGGGCGGCCTCCTCCCCCCTTGCTCCTTTATATACGGGGGCAGGGGGACACCCCATGGACACACAAGTTGATCCTCGTGATCATTTTCTTAGCCGTGTGCGGTGCCCCCTTCCACCATACTCCTCGATAATATTGTAGCGGTGCTTAGGCGAAGCCCTGCGACGGTAGAACATCAAGATCGTCACCACGCCGTCATGCTGACGGAACTCTTCCCCGACACTTTGCTGGATCGGAGTCCGGGAATCGTCATCGAGTTGAACGTGTGCTAAAACTCGGAGGCGTCGTAGTTTCGCTGCTTGATCGGTCGGGCCGTGAAGACGTACGACTACATCAACCGTGTTGTCATAACGCTTCCGCTGACGGTCTATGAGGGTACGTAGACAACACTCTCCCCTCTCGTTGCTATGCATCACCATGATCTTGCGTGTGCGTAGGAAATTTTTGATATTACTACGTTTCCCAACATTTCCTTCACCACAGACATGGTAACTCGCAAACACCGCGGTAAATTTGTCCCGGAAAAAATAGTTGTTGAAAATGTACCACTGTAACTCATGTGTAAATAACATGATAGTAGACACACATCTGAGCTGATAACTTACTTAGCCCAGGCTAGGTAACTATTTGCACGAAAAAAAGTCACCAGGACATATCAACATAGGATCTAGTTTGGTAAGTCTCGTCGCAACTGATTTTTTATGTGAAAGCATTTTTTTATCAGACCGGCGCTTTGACCTATACCACATTTTAAAGTTTTGAAATATGTAGAATAAAGGATGCATCCATTTTCCCCCTTCTAATGTATGCATCCATGTGCATGTGAAGAGAAAATTACAAGAACTATCTTTTATGTCCCAGTAAGTTATGTATAAATAACATGATAACTTATATACAGCCGCATGATAACTTGTGTAGCACACGCGTGATAACTTTTGACCCGAAAAAAATATCGTCGAAACATATCTACATGGGGTCTAGTTTCGAAGGTCTCGTCGAGACGAATCTTTTATGGGAAAACAGTTTTTTAATCGGACCAACGGGTTGAGCTACGAAATATTTTAAATTTTCGCATTAGAAATAATCTTTGATGACATCATCAATTTCGTTTTTTTCTGCATGTATATGATTAGTAGCTGCTAATTAACTGCTAATGGATAGTGGACACGCACAGAAAAAAGAAAAAAAATAAGATGAAGCTAATGCATGCATGCAAGCTAGGGAGGAATCGTGCGGATCTGTTGCTTAATTTCAGTACGTGTTGAAGTTAGCACTGTCCTAATTAAATGTAACAATTCATATGTCTTTTTAATTTTGATTCTCATGCTATCTATCCTAGTTTTCTTCAACAAATTTCCGTAGCAACGCGAGGTATCCTCTAGTTTTGAGAATATTTATTGTATATTAAGAAAATGTTCACCGTATGTTAACAAAAATTTAAGATGATTTCTATATTGCACATAAAAAACCAAATCCACAATAGGGAAGAGAAAAGTCAAGAAGCCTCTAATGACAAACATAAGGGAAAGGAAGAAAGAAAGACGCGCCAACTTGAGATTTCTTTGGCATCATCATCACAAAGAAGATATTCCGGATTTTTCTTAATTGGTATCTTCAAGGCAAATTGACCCAATTCAGTCGATGATAAAGTTTTGAACTTCTTTTTCTAATATTCATTGAAATTTTGTGTGCTTCCGGTTGAGTCGTACGAGATGAAATTTTCATATACGGTTAATGTAAATGTTTTAAAGTAAACTCACTAAAATATCTTATAAAACCGGAGTAGTACTATTTTACAACAAAGTATGGGGATTTACACTAGTAGTATTAAGAAGACATGCATTGTGTTTGTGTCGTGATGTATGTCTAATTGTCAATGGACTGCCCCTTGCATAGGAAATTTCATAGGTAACATTTCAAATAGTACTACTGTAGCACCGTAGGAGTTTCCGATTATTTTACTTTTTCCCAAACAGGCCAGTGCAGCTGTTTCCATACAATCTCTTTCCACAAAAATAGGAGTGTTATATCATGAATAAATGTCTTTCCAAATTGTGCAACAAAGCAATCCGAATCCTTGTGGAGGTCCGTCTGGTCTGGGTTCCATCAGCTTCGTTAAATATGGAGCAGGTCTGCAGGTGGCCACAGCAGCGATCATATCGTCCAGTCGTCCCGCAGAAACTTGCGACGATGCCGCCGTCGCTACGAAAGGACGTGGCCTTGTTCCAGTCCGAGCTTAGATGCGTCCAGGTCGCCATCCTCTGCTGCGACGAACTCGAGGAGCCCGACGTCCAGACCATCATCTGGGCCGACCAGCTCCGCGACCTAGCCTACGACATTGAGGACTGGCTCAGCCTCGTGGACGACGGCACCCACGACGCCGACACCGGCACCTCCTCTCGGTTCACCCGGTGGTTCCGCCGCGGCGTCCGAAGGCTCACCACCGTCCCCGACCGCCTCGTCATCGCCACCGAGCCGCGGGAACTCTGGAGGCGCGTCCTCGAGGTGGCCGAGCGGCGGAAGCGCTACAGCTACACCCTAACCCTAGGCCCGCAGATCGGCAGGGCGGGGTCCCATTACGCCGACCCACGGCTCATCACGAGCCACGCCGACAGCGCGAGTCTCGTCGGCATGGATGGGCCGCGGAGCGAGGTGGTGGAGATGGTTACTGCGGCGGGCTCGGACGGGCTGAAGGTGGTGTCCATCGTCGGCATGGCCGGCTCCGGGAAGACCACGCTTGCCAGGGAGGTGTATGGGCTGGTCGGTGAGGGGTTCGATTGCCGCGCGTCCGTACGGGCCGGCCGGAGCTCCGACATTGCCAAGGTGCTCGGCGATATGCTATTCCAAGTGGACCGCGCGTACAGAGGGCGAGCTGTTGGTGCCTATTATGTAGATATGTTGATTAGTGAGCTGGCGGATTATTTCAAAGACAAGAGGTACGCTCTTGCACTTGCCCTACACATCATCTAATTAATCATCGGATAAAACATCACATAGTCATGTTTCCTCTTGGTTGACATACATTTATGCTCTCTCACTGATCACTTCCTTTGGATCATTGTCATTAAATAGGTATCTTGTCATGGTTGACGATGTATGGAGTGTTCAAAATTGGGAGATCATCAACGAGTGTTTTCCAGAGAACAATCTCGGTAGTCGGATAATCACCACGACAAGAATTGAGGCCGTTGCGAACGCCGCAGGTGACCGTGTTTATAGGACTCGCCTTCTCGGTGAAGCCGACGCCGAAGCATTGTTTTCCAGAACAACTTTTGGCAGTGTGGGTCGGTGCCCTCCCCATTTCAAGGATGTTTCAGCTCAGATCATGAGAAAGTGTGGGGGTTTGCCGCTCGCTATAGTGAGCGTGGGTGGCTTGTTAGCCAGCAAGGCGCACACAAGAGATGAGTTTGAGCGGTCTGGCCTGAAATGGCGGGAAAATTCAGAGCTAGAAGGGATGACACAAATCATCAAACTTAGCTACAACGATCTTCCTCCTCATCTCAGGCCATGCCTGTTGCATCTAAGCATATTCCTGACAACCATGAGATTGAAATAGAGCGTCTTGCGAGGCGACTCACTGCAGAAGGGCTCATTAGTGAATGTTGTTACAGAGATATGGAGGAAACAGCGACAGACTACATATATGAGCTCATTGACAGAAACTTAATCCAGCCATCACGGCTGAACCATGATGGCACCCATCGGAGCTGCATTGTTCATCCAGTAATACATGATTTCATCGTGTGCATGTCCACAGAAGATAATTTTGTTGCTCTGGCTCATGCTCAACAGAAATATGTCTTTGTTGAACAGTGGTAAATATGACCAGGCTGCTGCACAAATCGATGGGGCGAAAGTTTCTCGTGCTCGCTCCATCACCGTATTTGCTCACACCGGTGGCATGCCTCGTCTGAATTATCTCAGTGTGCTACGAGTTCTGGACCTCGAAGAGTGTGAAGGTCCACTGTGCCTCGATGGTCTCTGCGGATTGCTGCTACTGAGGTTGAACCTCAGTAGCAGCAATCCGCAAAGACCATCGAGGCACAGTGGACCTTCACAGTCTTCGAGGTCCAGAACTCGTAGGGGTCTCTGCGGATTGCTGCTACTGAGGTACTTGAACCTCAAGGGAACAGATGTCCCACAAGAAATCACAATGGTGAAGATGATCTTGGAAGTATTTGGAAATGCAACCGGCCTTTGGACTAACTTCAGCAAAAGCAATTTATGCCACATCCGGTGTGATAACATTGATATCCATCAGCTGGCCATGATCCTGCAATGCCCAATCAAGGAGTTCCCTGTCACTTACCTTGGGATGCCCCTAAGCTTTACAAGACTCCAGAAAATTCACTATCAACCTATCTTTGACAAGCTCAAGCGGAACACCTCTGGATGGATCAAATTAATGCTACCCACTGCTGGCAGACTTGCCTTGATCACCTCGGTTTTATATGCTCTGCCTATCTTTCAGATTTTGGCCATTGAGCCCCCTAAGTGGGTGGTAAAAAAGTTTAACAAGGGCTGCAGAGGATTCCTTTGGGCAAATAAAGATGAGGCAACTGGTGGCAAATGTCTAGTCAATTGGAACCAGGTGTGCTTGCCCAAGAAACTTGGGGGGCTCGGAATCCCTTGTTTAACCCGAAAGAGTGAGGCAATGAGATGCAGATGGCTTTGGCTGTCGTGGATGGTACCTGATAGGCCTTGGCACGGCTTACCTCTACCAATCAGCACCTCGGTCAGAGCTCTTTTTGAGGCATCAGTGCAGTTTAATATTGGAAACGGTGCCAACACAAAATTCTGGATTGACCCTTGGCATCAAAGGGAAAGTTTCTCCAGAAGGTTCCCCGAGCTTTTCAACCATTGCACGATCAAAACAATCTCCATCAGATGTGCCCTTGCTGATGGAAAGTGGATGAGACATTTCAAGGGAAACCTAACTCAACAGGCCATCACCCAATTCACGACCCTTTGGAATGACCTACAGTCGATCCAGCTCACTCAAGCTCATGACGATTCACTTACCTGGCGCTGGACTAGCAATGGTCAGTTCTCCTCCAGCTCGGCCTATGCTGCCACTCTCACTGCCAACATTAAACCACCATTTGCGAAGCTCGCCTGGAGCTCGGATGCCCCGCCCAAATGCCAGTTTTTCGTTCGGCTAGCTGCGCAAGATCGATGTCTAACGGCGGACAACCTTGCTAAGTGAGGATGGCCCCATAACCCGCAGTGTGTGCTTTGCCTACAAGAACCAGAAACCGCTGCCCACCTACTTGCTTCTTGTCCTTATGCGAAGGAAGTATGGCACATGACACTCTGCAAGCTGAATATGAGCTCTAATTGGGCAGCAACCGATGATGATTCCCTTGTAAGCTGGTGGCATCGTACAAATTCTTCCATGGGAAAGGAAAAAGCGAAATCTTGGAGATCAATTTTGGCACTGGTATGGTGGAACCTCTGGAAAGAAAGAAATGATAGAACCTTCAGAAATAGTTCTTGCCGCCCCACACAAGTGTTCCAGAAGATTCAACTAGAAGCGAAGGACTGGGTAGATGCTGGACGAAAGCGTGCAATGGCTCTTGTAGAGCGACCCCTAGAGCCAGACTGATGTATTTTTGTTGTATCTCTAAACTCATTCCCCCCTTCTCTAATCTTACTTTTGTAACTGTTTATTTCTCCTACTCGCAATGAAAAGCAGTGGCCCTGCCTTTTCGTCAAAAAAAAAGGGAACATATGTCATCAAGCTCCCAGCAAAGATTGGGGAGCTAAGATGCCTAGAGACACTGGATGTGAGATCCACAAAGGTAAAGGAGCTACCTCCCAGCATTCTCAAGATGGAAATGCTAAAGCATTTGCTTGCTGGGAATGCGAGGTTGCCGACTGGGATAGGCATGTTGAGGTCAGTGCTGACAGTTTCGTGCAGCAATATTGGGATGAGCGCCGATGCAGATATCCTACAAGAGCTCGGTGAAATGGCAAGTTTGAGGGAACTGGAACTATTTTGTAATCTTACACAGATGTCTGGAGATCAGAAACAAGTTACATTTTCGAGTGATGGATTTAAGAGTCTTAGGAAGCTTTCCATTCGATGCAACTCGCCATCAGTGACCTTCATGACCGGTGCTCTATCGAAGGTTCGAGTGCTTGAGTTGAAGTTGGAACAACGCGTTTTGGAGAAGTCAAGAGGTGTGTATGGCATAGAGCATCTGTCACACTTGAAGCGCATGCTCATGGAGTTTTCACAGCATGATGCGGGTGCTGCAGCAGCAATGGTTGTAGTTAGGAAGGTTGTTGAGACGGTCCACCCTAGCTGTGAAGTGATCACCGTGAACATTGATAACTAGCGAGAGCCACGAATTGAGTCTTGGAGCATTGTGCGCATTTGATTCCGAGCAAGCATGAGGCAGTGAATGTTCATTGCAAAATACTTCAGTAAATTGATGCTCTTATATATGATTGTGTAGTGAGTTAGTTTTTGAATAACTGATGTCCCTAGGCATTATCATTCGTCAAATAAAATGTGTGATCTTTTCTGCCATTTTTTCCTTGCTTCTAGCCGATGAGTACATGTCATCATGCTTTACAGTAATTGCTAAAGTGTTCGTGAGGCTCAAAGCCGTTCTTGTAATTGTGTACATCAGAAAATACTCCGGGAGAGAATATTTAGAAGTATACTAATGCATCAGAAAATCCCTCTTTGAAGAAACTGTCAAATTTAAGTAACTGGTAGAATGCCCGTGCGTTGTCACGGGCTTTTAAAAATTTTAGTGGTTGCATATACAAACATAATGCCTGTCAAATTTCACATGTGTAGAAAAGATATTCCGGGATGACATAATAATGTTGATTGGTTCTATTTATCATGGCAGCTTTATCTCTTCTTTCATTGGTTCTAAATTTAGCTTTATCTCTTTCATTGGTTCTAAATTTTCTAAACGCACACATCTTATTTCTCACTCCCCACCAACAAGATAGAATTTGCTCTTCCTTCACCCTCTTTTACCTTGGTCTACTCCTTGCTCTAGCTTTGGTATCATCACTCTAATACGTCCATACAGTTCATTGTGACATGATAAGCTAGCTCTTACTATGCTTGTCATCTATTATTTCTATGGATAGGTAACACTCATATGTAGGTGTTTGTTTATCAACTATTTTGATTTTGGACAATCAGGCCATTCAAATAAACGATTCCTAGGATTTACTTGAGCTGAACATATTGTCATTGTCTGGTCGAACCAAGAGTAGAAAAAACAAACTGGTTTTGGGAGATGAAAACAAATGTGGTAATCATGTGAGCTGCAACGGGGGCATATATATTCTAGTGCTTCAACATTCATCATGTCTAACATATATTTTAGGATCCTCCTGCACATCACATGGGTTTGTCATGGTCATCTTATCCCATGGTGGTAACAGCCTTTTCTTCGCCCATCGTGGTCGTCCTTCTGATCCTCGTTGAGTAGCTTGGTCAGTTCTTCTTCTCGAACAAACCACGGCCCCGGTGATCCAGCAGTTGTCTCGCAAGATGGTTCATGTTGTTGTCGAGCAGCACCCATAGCCATCGTCACTGAGGGAGTCCTGGATTAGGGGGTGTCGGATAGCCGGACTATACCTTCGGCCGGACTCCTGGACTATGAAGATACAAGATTGAAGACTTCGTCCCGTGTCTGGAAGGGACTTTCCTTGGCGTGGAAGGCAAGCTTGGCGATACAGATATGTAGATCTCCTACCATTGTAACCGACTCTGTGTAACCCTAGCCCTCTCCGGTGTCCATATAATCCAGAGAGTTTTAGTCCATAGGACAGACAACAATCATACCATAGGCTAGCTTCTAGGGTTTAGCCTCCTTGATCTCATGGTAGATCTACTTTTGTACTATCCATATCATCAATATTAATCAAGCAGGACGTAGGGTTCTACCTTCATTAAGAGGGCCCGAACCTGGAAAACATCGTGTCCCCTGCCTCATGTTACCATACGCCTTAGACACACAGTTCGGGACCCCCTACCCGAGATCCGCCGGTTTTGACACCGACATTGGTGCTTTCATTGAGAGTTCCTCTGTGTCGTCACTTTTAGGCCCGATGGCTCCTCCGATCATCAACGACGATGTGATCCAGGGTGAGACTTTTCTCCCTGGACTGATCTTCGTATTTGGCGGCTTGGCCATCTGGAGCAGATCGAAAGCTGCGCCCCTGGCCGTCAGGTCAGATTTGGAAGTTTAAACTACACAGCGGACCTCCGCGGGGACTCGACCTTCGACGGATTCGAGCTGCAGCCGAGCGCGCCGCAATGTCACGATGGGCATGATCTAGCTCTGCCGCCGAACAAGTGCCTTGAAGGCCGCACCCGCATCAGCTCCGACCCTTAATTCGGAGCCAACTGCGCCAATTGAGGATGGGTGGTTGGACACCGCCTCGGGGGCTGCAATCTCTACGGCGATCGAGCCGAACACCAGCCCTATTCTCTGCGAAGCCCGTGACTCCAAGGAGCCAGACTCCTCCCCAGACTCCGAGCCCTCCGCGCTCCTACCAATCAAACCCGATTGGGCGCTG